CCCTCGCCCTCTGTTACTGGGGGTTGACACTACTCTGGTTTCTCATCAACATCCTGAAGTCCGTTCATGACTGTTCTTGCCACCCATCCACTTGTCCGCCATGAGTAGACTCCGTTATCCCAAAGAACTCTACCGCTTCTCGGCTGGCTTCCACATTGACAGCTGTATGTAGATCGTTCCTTACTCCTGAACTCCTTTCTCACAATTCCAACCCTCCGCCGTTCGTCTGTTGCCCATAGGCACCTCAAATTCAACCCGTGTGAAATAGAATTCATTGTTTTTGGCACCACTCAGCCTTCTTCACCTTTTCAAAGCTAATTTGCATTAAGCTGAACATGATGACTGGCAGAATTTTTCACGCAGTCTTCCAAATTAAATACATCTGTTTTGATCCCCCCCTTTCCCACCAGTTCATTCAGTCTTTCACCAACCTGTCAATTCTGCCTTGAAAGATATTCCTTAAATCTCTCCCTTTATTTCCAGACCCACATCCTTAGCGTGCTTGCTGGTTTTAATTGCCTCTGAGTACTTGCAAACTATTGCCCATCCGATTCTCACATCCTGCCACTGCAAAAGTAATTCGGAAAGATCAAAATCCGATATCATTACTGCCCTGCTTAAGATAAATCAAAAACTTCCTTGATTGTTTAGATAAAATCCAAACTCCTCAACATGGCACAGAAAACTCTGAGCATATCTCCCATTCATCCTTGTGGCCTCGTCCCCTGTGTCCTGCCTCGTTCTCCTTTCCTCGCCCTCCTGATACATCCTTGTTATTGTGGGGAGCTGAAACACACTCCATTTAATTAACTGCTTGTCCACATAAGGAGTTGTTTCCTCACTTCATGGCATTTACTGAATTTTTAAAATCAGTTTAGTCTTACACACTACTGAAAAAAAGTGTAGCATTTGCATTTTCTTTTGAGGGTGCAGGTTGAGAAAAACAGCAGACATATAATTTGTTCACACTTAAATTATAAGATTATTGCATTGTATGAGCCTTTTAACTTTCATTTGGGGCTTGGGCTATGAGGTATATGCTAAACTTCTCCTTGAAGAGAACAAAACCCTTCCTTGCAGTAAAGCAAGGCCTGGACTTTCAAATGAGACAGACTTAGGTTGAATTCCAACTCTGGTGTGTATAAAGTAAATGAACTTGGGCGCCTTGCTTAGCCCTAAACCTCAGTTCATTGTAATTACAATAAATATGATCATATGTTCTATTTTCCAGGAGTTTGGGGGATATTTAAACAAGATAATGTGTATAAATAGGTGACATTTTTAAAAAACAAAATGTAAAGCATTCAGCCTATGGTAAGCACCCTTCCCTCTCTCTCTCCCTCAGCCTGCATAAGCAAATCCTCTTGGCTCTACTTTTGAAAGGAATCTATCTAGAATCCTACCACTTCTCACTACCACCCTGCTGTCATCTCACTTCAAGCTATTATTATCTCCCACCAGAATCACTCCAGCAGCCTCTGAACCAGTTTTAGTACCTCACATCTAATCTGAACCAGCAACCAGAGATGTCCTCTCAAAATGTGAATTAAATCATGTTATTTCTCAGCTCAGAATCCTCTGATGGTTTCTCCGTTTGCTCAGCACAGAAGCAAAGCCTTAGAAATGGTCCCACAGTGCAAGGAGAGGGCTTTCCCACTTGTACCTCACGTCTGGCACCCACATCTCTGAGCTTCTTCCCACCTGGCCCCTCATTCTCTCAGCCCCATGCTGGCTCCTAGTCCAGACCTTTGCTCTAGCACAGCAGTTCTCAACCTGTGGGTCTCGACCCCTTCACAGGGATTGCCTAAGACCATTATGATTCATAACAGTAGCAAAATTAGTTATGAAGTAGCAATTGAAATAATTTTATGTCTGGGGGTCACCATAACATGAGGAACGGTATTAAAGGGTCATGGCATTAGGAGGGTTGAGAACCACTGCTCTAGCATTTCCTCGGCCTCAGTTGTTCCTTCCCCAGTGTCTGTACAGCATTTGGTTCTTTCTTTTAAGTCAATTTATAAAATTCCTTCTCCATGAGGGCTTCCCTAACCATCTTACTATCACTTCCCCTCTTGATTCTCCATGCTACACACCACTTTTTAACCTGCCATATACAGTAGAACCTCTGTAAGTTGACCACCCAAGGGACTGTAACAAACTGGTCAACATACCTCGGTGGTCAACATACGGAGGCCCACTGTACTGGTATATACATGTGGTGCATGTCTGGTCTATGAAAATTCGATCAACTTAAGGAGGTGGTCAATGTAGGGAGGTGGTCAGCTTTGAAGTTCTACTGTAATTTCTCTATTGTCTATCTCCTACAAAAATTCAAGTTCCAAGAGAATAAGTTGTTTTGTCTGTTTTATTCACCACTCCGTCCATTGGGAAGAACGGTGCCTGGAATATAGCTGCTCCTTATAAAATCTTCCAAATGAATGAATGAATTTGTTAATTCCAGTGAAGTGGGCAACATGAGCAAAGCCACAGAGGTGTTCAAGAACCTGGTCCTTTCAAAAAGGTGACAGCACATCAGCATGATCAGAGTGGAATGGACATAAGAGACAGGGAAAAGTGAAGTTGGAGATAAGACCAGCAACACAGACATTCCAAAGTGCCACGCACAGGGCCCCACATTAAGCAGGGTCTCATGCTGGGTTTAATGCATGTGAAATTCTTAAACACTTTTGAAAAAGTAGGACTTGAACTGTATTTTGCACTGAACCTATAAGTTATTCAGCCAGTTCTAATTGGAAAAGTAAAAAATATTCGAAGGACCTTGTGTGCTTTGTTAAGGGATAAGAAGGCCATAAGAGAAGAAACCATCGGAGGACTTAGCCCACCCTCCCTACAGTTTGGAAGAGGGAATAAGGAATTGGGACTATCACTCCAGCTTGTCCCTGCCCAGCAATCCTACTCATCCTGTAAGACCCACGCAGACGTTGCCTCCCCCTGAAGACCTCATAGGCCCCTCCATGTGGGGCTAACATTGCCGCCTCTGGGGAACCCTCTGGCCCTCTCTTTGCACATTGCTTATAAATTTCTCTCAGGGCTGCACGTGTTATACTCAACTTATTTGCGAACATTATCTACCTGCTTTAAACCAGGAGCTTCTCAAGATTAAGGTTTTGTCTTTTTCAGCTTTGAAGAAAGTGTGCTTAGTACAGTGGCAGGCAAATAGCATGTACTCAGTGCATCTGATGAGTGAATTAACAAATGAAAGAACGCAATTAAGTATATAACATGCCGAAGTAGATTACAGACGTGCTTTCCTTTTAGACCCACTGTTGATGAACTGACACATGCTCACCCCCCCCCCCCCGACTGCTGATAGGAGGAGGAGGAGACAGCGGAGGCTCACTCAGTCTTCTCACTTGCCTCCACCTCCTTCCCAGAGGACATGCAAGAGTCTTCAACAGGACATGCCTTTGTCTTTTCACCTCCCACTCTTCACCCTATTCCTGGCCCTCTTCCTCCACTTTCACTTCCCTATCAATAACCTCCAGGCCAATGAGTCTAGTGAACATTCTGTCCCCCCCCTATTTACCTTGCCAGCATGATTTACCGCTGCTCACTTCTCCTCCCTCCTGACACTACACAGCACTCTCGTGGTTTTTTACTCACCTCTTTGGATGCTCCTTTTCTATCTCTTTTGCAAGCTGATCCTGTCCTATTCACCCATTCAATGTTTGAGTTCACCAAGTTCCATTCTGGGCTCTCCTGCCAACTCCACCCTCTTCCTAATCCATCCCATCTGCTCCAAGGCTTCAGTGGCCACCTAGACTGAGAGGACTCCCAGATGAATAGCTTAAACTCATATTCCTCCCATGAGCTCCAGATTATAAATATCACACCACCATGACATTGCCCCCTGGGTGTCCCAAAGGATCTTAAACTCAACATGCTTCAAACCATGCATGCAAATCCATCCACCAGGTTCCTCAGGCTCCAGCCTTTTTTGTCTTCTCAGCACAGACTATTCTTCCCTTTCCCCTTTGCCTGGGAAAGCCCCTCTCCTTGTCTAGCACTCAGACCTATTGCCATTTCCACAAGAAACCTTCCCTGAGTTTCCAAGTGGGTCAAAGTCCTCATTATATGCCTTTTTCATGGCACTTGCCACAATTATTGTACTATGTTTGTATAATTATTTGATGAAAGTCTGAACCCCACCCCCAGTAAACACTAAGGCTCAAGGAGATGGGGTCACATTGTTTATATTCCTCTTTATATCCCCAGCCCTAGCACAATGCCTGAAGAATAGCATGTGCCTAATAAATATCTGTCATTTCCCTTCTAGTAATGCAAATAATTATTAAGCACCAGGCATTGAGATATGCCTGATAGTCATTGTTCTATTTTAATCTTGAAAATGTTTTATTTCCATCACTGTGCTTATATACATACATATGTATGCACAGATTTATATATATTGATATTAATGTACATCACATAATACTCATAGGTATACATTGTGTACCTAATATGTACACGTTAGATATTTTAACATTTGTATAATATATGTATATATATAACTACAAATTGACTTGGCAAAGTATATTACCATCCAAGTGTGTAAGTGAATAGCTGCTATGTGCAAATCCAGAGGAGACCAAGTCTACAGAGGACCTTAGAGTGCTGATTTGGTCTTCTAAATCTGACCCTAGTACCCTTTCTCCAATCAAATCCCATACAGAAAACATCCACAGGAGATATGCAAGTATTTTTCCAGTAATATCAACTTAATAATTTACACATTTAAATTATGGTAATTTGCATTACATGGACACATTTGTACTTTAATCACACAAGTACAAACATGGAAAGAACATTTGGAACACTGGAAATGTGGAAAGAACTTGGGGTGAATTTTTAAAATATGGCCCATCTCTCTATCAAAATAACTATCATCCTCTCTGGATTTGACATTGGTCCAAGACCACCTGACTGGATTACCCATTTAGAAATGATGTTTCACTATGGAAGGGAATGCTCAAACTCACCATTCCCATTGCAGTGGTCTGTATCCAGCCTCCTGACCTCCTCCAACCAGACATCCTCACTTGCAGAATCAACATCACCAAAGAAACTTCCATGCAGCCAAGATTTAGAGGCACGGAGGTTGAAGAGAGAAGGAAGAGAATGGCGGATTTTCTTTTTTTTCCTAAATATCCTGGAGATAAATGAAAGCATAGTGAACAATGATAGCAGTCACCCTGAGTTCAAAATCTAGCAAAAGTGATTTGGTGCACAGAGTACATCTCTACAATCCAAGTCCATTCACTTGATTAATTCCACAGAAGTTTCTCAAAATTCTTCTGTGTGTAAGGTCCTTGGACCAATGTCAAGAACACTGAGATTCATAAAAGGCAAAACTTTGTGTGCAAAAGTTCACAATCTACAATGAGAGAAAGACTAAAAATAATGCAGAGACAACTAATGCCTTTGTAAAGCTTATTCTTGTCAGGCTGCCTTCTTTGTGCTTTATCAAAATGGCTCTTATGAGATAAATACTATTATTACCCTTATCACATTATCAAAATGGCTCTATGAGATAACTACTATTATTACCCTATTATGCAGATCAGGAAACTGAGGCACAGAGAGATTAAGTTACTTGGTTGAGGTTATGCAGCTGGTAAGTGACATAGCTGGGGTGCAAATCCAGAGGGGGAATGAGACCTTAGAGTCCTATCCTAATTTGGCTCCTTCTAATTTTTTTTGTTTTCTAATCAGAAAATATCTTTAGAGGAAACCCATTTTTCTTTAGTTAATAATAATATAAGAAAGACTGCATTGACATGGCTAAATTCCCAAGATTCTTAGTTCTTCAGGGATGGAATGATTGGCTGGGATCATCACTTACAAAAATGTTTTGAACTTGACGTAGCTCATGTTGAGAAATAAAGTTTTTATTTTTAACTTTAATCTTGTAATTCTACCTTTCCAAAAACTTTCAAATCCCATTATGTAAGCATAGGGATCAGCAGTGTGGCAAATTGGATTACTGTTCAGCAAAAATGCTTCGACAGGAGTAGAATGTATTTCCCTGACCCTTCCTTCAGCTTGCCCATGTGACTTGGGAAGGTTAGCAGATTGTTACACACAGAGGCTTGACATATACTTGCTGTTGGGGTATGTCTTCTTGCATTTATGATTACAGTGGGAAGATTCTTCATGTTGACTGGTCCCAAGAAAAAGACTTACGTGGGACCTACTTGATATCAACATGAAGCCAAGTTCGGCCTCATGTAGGCCAGACTACATCAACCTGTACCAACTGACTTCCTAACAAGTGTGCATTCATTGCTATATGTCCCTGGTAATCTGTAGTTATTAATATTTGTTACATAGCATTATTGTATTAATAGCTGATTGACTGTCAGCATGTAGGTGGTTCTCAAACAAAAGAAAATGAATGTAATTGCCCAAGCTCACTGATTCAAAATCATCTCCTTTCCTCCAATCGATGCTCCTTACGTATTCCTGGTCTTGATAAATGGTCTTTCTGTACATCTTGTTGACAAAGCCAGAGTCTTCAGTTTTAACAAAACTGCCCTTCCGTCCTCAGACCTCACACGTGCAGTGACCAGGTACTATCTTATTGCTATGCCTTTTGACTATTCCCCCAATCCTGACTCTCTTATCCTTGCTACTGACTTTTTTTCAATCCACGGACTGAAAGCTTTATGTTGTTTACATTCTATTCACTCTTCACTCACAAATCCACACACCCCACAATCCATCTCTTATGTTGCAATCACTGTTATCTTTATATAACAAACTCCGATCATTTGTCAATGACTCCTTTTCATCTACAGAATCAGGCCCAACTCCTTGGCCTGAAACTTAACCCCCTCCACCCAGTCCCTGCCTCCGTGCTCAGTCTTCTTTCCCACAGAGCACCCCTTCCCATCCTAAGTTGGAATCCTGCCAAACTGTTTGCCATTCCGCACATTGTATCGGGGTATCTCAGAACCCTAAGCCTGCGCCCTCTCTCCAGAAGTCCTCTTTCCTACTTTCATTTTTAACTAGCTGCCTACATTTTTCAACATTTAGATCAGTCATCATTTTTAGGAAGCTTATTTTTATCTATTCCCCTAGTAAAACACCCCTCCCTTCCTTTTTCCCTCCACTGCGCCCTGTGCAGCTTTCTATCCTTGCGCCCTATCGCATCAGTACTTCTGTTTGTCTTAATGTTGTCTATCCTGCCCCTTATTTCCCTTTAAATTTCCACTCTGGAGCAATAAGGGGGTCCTTAAAAATGATGGTTGAATGAAGAGATGAATAAATGAATGACTAATGGGTGGATTGAATTTGAGGTTTCTTTATGTGGTATCCTCTACTCACCTAACTAAGTTCTCCTTGTACATAACACGGGTCTGGGATGGATTCAGAGTCACATTGCCATCAGCATCGCAGAGGAAACTGTCTTCTGTCCAAACATAGTAGCCATTGGTGAGAAGTCTGGGACTTCGGCGACAGATATAGTGAAAGCCTGTCAGGGGGTCCACAGAGCAGCATTCAAAGGAACTGTCACCATCCAGGAAATCACAGGAAAAACTCAAGTAGGAAAAAGGAAAGGGCTTTAAATGTCTATCCAGTACATCCAGTCACCTGAAAATCATGTCTCATTACTGTGAAGGTAAACAGCCTGTCTGCATTCATGGCTATCAGTTGTCACTCATAACCTTCTGGGCATTAACCTGCGGGCCAGTTAGTGCTGCTTTCTGTTTCAACCTTTGATAAAAATACTATGGCTAATCAGCTCCTTCACCATACGATGAACCTGCACTCTTGACATCAGTCTATTTTGCTGGATAGAAAAATTACAAGACAGCCTCCCTGAGATTCGAGAAGCTCATAATTCCCTCCATTCTTTTGCTTTGAATGGCCCTCCTTTGCTTTCTCCTTATAATTTCTCTATTACAGTTATGAGAATAACTATGCAGCCACCAGAAATATACAGAGTATAGGAGAAACATGCAGTCAAAGAGATCTTTTTTGCCTTTGGAAATTTCCTTCTAGTTTGACTGTACAAATGGTCACTTTCCCTGAATTGGTATCCCGGAAAGTCTCATAATACACTGAATAAATCTGTATGTGTCTTAAATTTAAAAAGCAGCCACATTGACCTGGTGTGGTGACGTGTGCCTGTAGTACCAGCTACTCAGGAGTTGAGGCAGGAGAATTGCTTGGGTCCAGGAGGTTCAAGGCTGCAATATGCTATGAGCATTCCTGTGAGTACCTATTTCACTCTAGTCTGGGCAACAAAGCAAAATCCCACCTCTTAAAAAAATCACATGTCCCTATAATTAAAAGACAACCAAAATTACGAAGACAGTTTAGGAATTTAACATTTAAACCCTGATGACAACAGTAAGAGAGCCATATTATTTTTTCAGGCAAAACTGCTTGATTTTTCCTCTCCTACGAATTTATTACTTTGTCCTATTCCCTAACCGTCATTGTGATTTGTGTGTATGCATGTCTGTTCAATAATTCTTGTATACATTTCTGGAGGGCAGGGCTGTTTGCCTAACAAGGATTCAATATATAAATAAATAGTATATATAGTTGCTGAATGAAATCATCTGACAGGCTATGAAAATCTGGTCTTTAAAAAAAGTGTCAGCTCGGCGCCTGTGGCTCAAGTGGCTAAGGCGCCAGCCACATACACCTAAGGTGGCGGGTTCAAATCCAGCCCAGGGCCACCAAACAACAATGACGGCTGCAACCAAAAAATAACCAGGCATTGTGGCAGGCACCTATGGTCTCAGCTACCTGGGAGACTGAGGCAGGAGACTTGCTTGAGCCCAGGAGTTGGAGGTTGCTGTGAGATGTGATGCCACAGCACTCTACCCAGGGGGATAGCTCAAGGCTCTGTCTCAAAAAAAAAAGTATCTGGGCCAGCCCCAGTGGTTCATGCCTATAATCCTAGCATGTTGGGAGGCTGAGGTGGGTGGATTGCTTGAGCTCAGGTGTTGAGACCAGCAAGAACAAGAGCAAGAGTCATCTCTACTAAAAACAGAAAAAACTAATCAGATGTGGTGAATGCCTGTATTCCAGGCTACTGGGGAGGCTGAGGCAAAAGGATTGCTTGAGCCCAAGAGTTTGAGATTGCTGTGAGCTATGATGCCACAGACATTCTACCCAGGGCTATAGAGTGAGACTCTGTCTCAAAAAAAAAAAAAAAAAAAAAAAAGGATCTGAATATATTTTAATTCTTGGGGTGCTTTTTTTGTCAGTTAATACCACTGATACTATAATATCTCTATGTTGTTTGCCTTGATGTTAAAAAGAAAACCCCAAACTACTATATACATTTATTCTATGTAATTACATAAATTGAGAGCCTATATTTCCAGGGAATCACAGATTCTAAGAATGAGAAGGAATTTTAAAGGTCACGTCTCCAATCCCACCAAATTCTGCTTGTCCCATCTGCCGTGTTTCTATCACACACTGCTGCATCTCTGCTTTCACACCTTCCGTGGAAAGGACCCTCCGTGGACTGAGCCACCCTACCGGTCACTAACAGACGTGGAGTGCAGGGTAATGGAAAAGGCCTGGAATTTGGAGTCAATTCACCCTAAGCCCATAATTTCAACTGTCACCAGTTAGGTGACCAAATTAATCCAATCATTTCGCCTCTCAGTCTGCATTTTTATCTGTAAAATAAGAAAACAACAAACGGTGGTGTTTTGAAAATGGAACAAGAAAACGACCAGAATGTGCTTAGCACATAGTATGGGCTTAAGCAACACTTACTTCTCCCCTTCTCTCTTCCTTCCTTTTCTGTTTCTTTCATCTTGCATTTGAAACTTATTTAGCCATTTTAAGAGAATTTCCACATCCTCTCTGGGTCTTCTTTTGATACTAAAAGTCTTCCAGTTCATCCAACTCACCCTTATACGATACAATGTGAATTTGATCCCTTCACTATGATAGTCTGACATCTTTTCTCTGAGTATTTTCCAGTTTTTTTTTTAAATTTAAAAAAATTTTTTGTTGTTCCTGTTAATTTTAGGGTATATAGAATTAGGTTACAGTGTTTGGATTTTTTAGGTAGAGTCCCTCTTATAATTGTGTCCTGTCCCCAAGAGGTGTGTCATACACCTGAACATTGTGCCCATTAGGTGGGAGCACATCCAGCCCCCTCCCTTCTCCTCTGTTCCTCATTCACCCACCCACCCCCACCTTGAATTGGTTTGAGCTTTTCTCTTATGTGGCTCATATTAGATCATCTACTGGCTTCATATTAGTATTGAACTATTGAACTGCTTCTCCATTCTTGAGATACTTTACTAAGAAGAGTGTGTTTCAGCTCCATCCAGGTAAACATAAGATGTAAAGCAGGGGTCCTCAAACTTTTTAAACAGGGGTCCAGTTCACTGTCCCTCAGACCATTGGAGGGCTGGACTGCAGGCCCCGGGATGAGTCGGCTGCTAAGCAGGACAGGCAATAGCAGCAAAAACACCCTGTGGGCCGGATAAATGTCTTAGGTAAGGCCACATGTGGCCTGTGAGCTATAGTTTGAGGACGCCTGAAAAGTCTCTACCTTTTTTCACAGATCAATTTCTAATTGCCAAAATTAATGGGGCAGCTATATCATACTGAACAATTAGGAGGATACAGAGTTTTAGATCCAGATTTCTCTCTGTACTCTAATGTCTGAGGTGTCAACATCAAATGGTTCTCACCTGCAGCCTCCCTGACCCCCTCACATTGTTCCTTGTTTAATACCCTTGACGTGATTATGTTTAGCAGGTCCTTTCCAACTAATTTCAGAAGTCCAGCTGCACACCAAAGCCCAGCCACTTGCTCAATTGCCTAAAGAACAAAGCCCTTTCTCATCTTGTGAGGCTACTAACCAGGCCTATGGAAAAGTTTACAGCACATGCCTGCTGTGATAGCACAAAGACTGGTTGGTGAAGGGATGCATTTATCATTAGAATCTTTAAAATATTTTTCCATAATTAATTGTACTTTGATAGGTTGCAAAATGTTTCTTATCCTTCTACAAACCACCTTCTTGTTCTGTAATTCTGTTACATTTTTTTCATAAAAAGTCTACATGCAATTAATATACCAGAACTGACAATCAAGTTCATGAACTTGCCACCATGCACTTATGTTGGCTGTACTAACAAATAGCTCGGTAAGTTTTCATAACCTTGGTATATCAGTGTCTCATAGCTTGGTAAATCCGTATCTATATCAGTGTTTCATAACCTTGGTATGTTTGTGTCGATGTGTGGCTGTGTCTTGCTGAGTGGCATTCATTATTGTTGTGCATTTCTGTGTGCCATTGCAACAGTGTCAGAGCTTGAATTAGATCAACAAACAAACATTTGTAGATTTCTTGTTAATCTCAGCAAGGGGGGAAGTGAAATCAGGGACATGCTAGTCCAAGTTTGGGGAGATAACGCCATGGAGCCAACAGCAGGGTACAAGTGGATTAAATGGTTTTCTGGGGGGAAAGAAAGTGTCACTGATTAAGAGAGGTCAGAGTGGCCAGTAATGAGCAGAACTGATGAAAACATGGCAAAAATTCATTGACTTGAGCATCAAAATCATTGGCTAACTATGAGAAGCATTGCAGACCAATTAAGCAGTAGAGAAACAAGAAAATTTCACCTGAAAATCTTGATTAACAACTCATGGCTCTTGCATCACAACAATGCACCAGCTCACATGGCACTCTCTTGAAGGAGTTTTATCCAGTAAACAAATAACTGTACTAGAACAGTTATTCTCCCTACTCACCTGATCTGGCCCCCAAAGGGTTTTTTTATTTTATCTAAGGATAAAGGAAATGTGGAAAGGAAGACATTTTGATGGCACTCAGTACATCGAGGGCAATACAATGACAGCTTTGATGGCCATTCCTGAAAAAGAACTCCAAAATTGCTTTGAAGGGTGGACCAGGCACTAGTATCAGTGCATAGCTTCTCAAGAGGAGTGCTTAAAGGTGACCAAAGTGATATTCAGCAATGAGCTATGTAGTACCTGGTTTAGGAGAAGTCATAAACTTAATTGTCAGACCTTGTATGCACTCAAAAGTACTATTTTAAATGAACAATATTTATTGAACAGTTACCATGAGCCTGGGCCCACACTGTATCTAGTCTTCACAAATCTCTCTAAAAGGTGTCATCATTATCTTCATTATAGCAAGAAAGAAATGAGTTGTAGAAGGGCAAATTATCTGTACTTAGATATTTTATACAACCAGTAAGTGGCAGAGATAGTGTATGAACCTGAGATAGTGTATGAACCTGAGTTTATCTGGCTTTAAAACAAGCTGTTTGTTCATCTTTAGCTGATTCATTTGCTAATATCAGGAGCCCTAGAATTTATAAGAAGGGGCAAGTCCTGAAATCATCATCCTTTTATACTATAGCCACATTTCATAAAATGCTGGAGAAACACCAAGTGATGACTACCTAAGGGAGAAGAGACACACAGTGTCAGGAAAAGAGAAAGTAAAAGAAAAGAGACCCCATGGTGGTACTCAAACAAAATGGTAGAATTTGTACATCTTAGTGGGGCCTGAAATTTGGCCAACTTGTGCATTGGTGTAGAATCCTGTTGCTGTCATAAAATGAGATAGGAAAGCATATCTAAGAGAATGTCAGCTTGAGAAAGAGTAACTATCTGTCATCAGTGTTCAATAGTTTCATCACTCACCAGAAAAACAATAAAACAATTCACTCCTGCCCTCCCCACACACATCCATTATTTTATTAGGCAGATTTTCATACTGTGTATGTATGTGTAAGACTAAAAATATATAACCAAACCAAAATGGGATAATAGCAAACATCTAATTTTAAATAGGGACTATGACAAAAATGAGACCTACAGGAAAGGAACTTGATTATTTTTCGAGAAAAGCTGCGTGGAATACCTTGGGGAAATGCATGTGGCAGATAGCTCTCCAGCACATTCTCTGTCCAACCGGGAAGAACCTGCATGAACACATGGGAGGGAAATAGAGATTGACCACACCTCACTAACACACATGGCTGGCTGCAAGCAGCAGAAGGGTGTGAGAGGTGGGGGAGCCGACGCCCCAGCCTCTCAGCCCCAGCCTCTCAGAGACTCCAACCAGAGCAGCTGCCCAGTGAATCGTCTAATACAACTTGTCACCAGGGCTCCACAGGAAGCAAGAAATAATCTAGGAGCGTCTATCTTCTGTCCCTTCTCACATGTAACACTCCTTTAGAAGTTCCTTAGTGCAGGATGAGGCAATAATAAATCATTAGCATCAAACTGAGCTCATGAAAAGAAGGAAGAAAGCCACTTGTGTGAAGCTGGAAAAAACCCAAATCAGTTACCCAATGTGTTGGTTATTGTAGCTTACTCAGTAATCGGAGGGATTCAGTCATCCCAGTCTCCCTCATTAGTGCATTTTAAGACACCTCTACTGTAAAATAATGAGCAAAAGACATTGTTGGGGGAAATTAAGATTTTGTTTTTATGTGTGATTTTCCAATGTATACATCCTATGGCTAAATAGTAATTATTAAAAAAAAATCTATTCCTTCCAGTTTAACCAAGGACATGGCAACAGACTTCACTTGTGGAAAATTGCGGTTGATTAACATTCTAAACTTTAAAGCAGAATTTTATAATGTACAGTGCTGCTGACGATACTTCTGACAGACAGGCTCTGTGAAACTTGATCCCATTACTGATCATTAATATCTAGGACAAAGAAAGAAATGTAGAGTTTCAGACTGGGTGGGTTGACTTGTAAGGAGAAAATTGTGGGTGTGTGAGGGAGGCTTAGAAACAGAGTTTGGGAAGAAAATAACAAGAGGAAGGAAGAAACTTGAAACCACTACCGTTTTAACAACGCCCATATTTTCTGCAAGTAGCTATCAAAATCATTCAGCATTTTTTATAGACAAACAGTTTTGCATCTTAATAGTAGCTGATAAACAATCTCCTTTCACATTTATGCACAGGCATCTAAAAAAAAACTCGTCATTTTTTTTCTACTAAAAGGAAAAGTACCACATTTCTTTCAAGGAAAGAAATGAAGTCAAAATCATTGCCAAAGTGAACACTGGCATTTAAGAAGCGCTAGCTACTGACAGATGGTTAATGGTCTGAGTATCAGCAAAATCAAAGCAAGGAAATTGCTAAAAGGAGGCTAATCATTCAAAAGATAATTGCGTAGAGCAGTTCTCCTACATTTACTTGCTGCTGGTGTTGACATCAGTTGAGATATTCGGTACATCTTGGGAAGGCCGCTTCTTCAAACTTCACAGATTCTCTGCAAAAGATGATAAAAAAAGGTGGACTATATATTAAAAATAGAAAAATTATGCCCAAACAGATGGCATCTACTAATTGCACCCGTCAGATGTGTCTACTGAAATAATATAGAGATAAGGAATTGTAGGCAGGAGACTAGATTGAAAACACAGCTTCTCCCAGGTTGCGTTTGCCTCAGTGACTTGGTATTACATTTTCTGCTGTCTCGCTTAGTGCATGTAAATAATCTTTTTCTGTAAATAAGAACACCACTTTATTTGGAAAAGCTAGACTTGCAAAGGTGGATTTGTAATCCAATGAAATCAATGAAAGTGACTTACTTGATTAAGAAATCTGTGAACTGACTGGTTCAAGAGCCCCCAAAACAAATGTTTCTCTTTTAATCAGTCAATGAAAATCAACCTTATCTTCAGGTTTCAGACGTTGTTTGGAGATTGGTGCCTGTCTTTTGTCCAACAACTTGAACCATTGACAGGTAGTCACAGAGAATGCTTTTTTGTAGTTGTTGTCAGCCTATTAGCCTAAACATTCTGAAACAACATAAATAGCGTTGCACTAAAAATAGTATACCACTGGCCAGATTTCAGAACTCTGTTCCTATGAACATATAATTTGCTTTCCCAATTACAAATCAAACACATATTGAGGTATGCAAATTATAAACTTTGATTATTTACCTCTCATCAAATAGAACCACCTTTTCTGATGACTACTGAACTTTGTGTGAACTATCACTATCCTAACAGCTACATAAGGTAGGACTAAATTATTTTATGATTCAGCACCTCTCTCCACATCTCCTAACATGATAATGAGTAATCGATCATTTTTGCAGCTGTAATACAATCAATCAGACCAAGCTAATTCTATAGCTTCCAATAATTTCCATAAATTATATATAAATTTTGTTAGAAAATCTAGAATCTGGCTTACATAGACCTTTAAAGGTGTCAGAAGAACTTTCTGTGAAAGATGTCTAAATCAAAGCATACATTTATAGATTTCATTCTTTTAGGATATAAAATGTTTTCAATATAACATATTAATGTTGCTTATTCTTTTTGCTTTTGATCAATATTCTCTGAGTATGCCCACTCCAAATTATATTCTATGTTAGTTTTTCCTAAGCATTAAGCTGAGTTTTAAGCCAATGAATACTGTGGCAGAAAGCAAGGTCTTACTGTTCCGCCTTACAAATGCTTGCCACTGTCTCCTGACAGGACACTGACAGTAGAATTGAGAATTAAGAATGGTGAAAAACTTCAGTTATAGCTCTGAAACTTTTCAAGAAACAGACCCAAGCAGTTCCTTCAAAGCAACACGTCTGTTCTAAAGAAAAATATGCCCATACATGTTCTTTCCAAAGGGAGTTCCCATTCTCTTCTTCCAATTGATAAATGACAAAATAACAAATACGGGGCTTCCTGTGGTTGACAGTGGAGAAATCAAGGACTGAACAGTTCTTCAGCTCAATGAAAAAAAAAAAACACAGACTACCAACAAGTGCTGAAGTCTCTCCATCCCAGGATTCCCACCTTCTGGTCCTCTGCTAGATGTCCGCGCACATCACCTGGGCAGGCATTTGCAGAGAAGTTTTGTCTTCAGCAGTCTCTCATTCTTTGGGCTGTTTCCTGGTAGAGATGAGCATGTAGTTCTTGGGAAAGCTGCCTTTACAACCCTTCTTGTTTTCTTTCAAAAACAGCCTGTGTAACCAGAGGCAGAGAAGCAGAATGAGGTCACACTTCCTGTTGGGCTCACATCAGTGGCATTCACACTGCGGCATGCGGTGAAGATTTAAGATCGTCTCCTGGGCTAACAGCAGGGACTGTACTGGCTATACACTGAGCCAGCTGGGTCTACCATGGCCACTGAAGGGATGTTTTATGAGCTAACTCGCCATCCCTAGCTGTGAGAACATGGGGAAATCTCTCAGTAAAGTGACACTTCTTACTCACCATATTCTGGGCACATTTAGTTATCAGTAGCGTATAGCAGTGCTCTCTGTCCAAATCACCTAAATTTATTGAAGATGGTGTGCATTTATGCTATTAAATTTGGTATACTGTTAAATACCAGGAGTCTGATCTCATGACAATTTCTGTAGTGGCAATATGTGGATCCACCAAAGGTTGGGCTTTACAGAAATCTCTGTGGATGGCATTTTACATTTTAAATTTCTATTTTAGTAGAGCTGAAAGACTTGATACTGTTTGTGGGTCCTCATACATTTGTGCTATTCTAAGTGATAAAAGACATAAGCATTCCAGCAGCACTGAGGTAGCACTGAGTAGAGAAAAGATCATGGGTTTTGGAGTCACACAGACTGAGATTCCAACTGTCTCGCCATCCTAGTCTGTGACCTTAGATTTGTGACTTAACTTCTTTGAGTTGCAATTTTCTCAGTTAGAAATGTAATAATATATATTTCACAGGATGGCTGGGGGAATTACGTGAGTTAAAAGAAATGAGAAGTAATGGATCCTCAGCACAGATATGCAAGATGTAAGCCTTGTTTGTTTTCCATAAGTCAGTTTTCTCTTCTGAGGCACCAGTTGGCCAGGCTGGCAGAAAAGTTAATCTCATCCTTCCTTGGGGTTCCCTTTGCCCCTGAATTTATGCCACATAGCAGGATCTTCTGTAAAACATGTCCCAGGCAACAGAATCTATCAGGAGGAAGGCCCATCTAATTGCAAGGTTTCCTCCCTTCTGAACCTCATGCCTTTGTCTAAACCCTCCCCTTGAGTGTGTGCTAAAGCTATGACTGGCTTCTTGTAAATTGAATAAAGCAAAGTCGCTAGGTTGCCAATCCGATGATTCGGCTTCTGTCTTGGGGCTCCCTTTAGGAAGGTTCTCCTCTTAATAGGAAGAGTTCAGATCTTCTTGGCTTGTCCACTTTGAGGAAGCCAGCTGCCATGAAAGAGAAGCCCACATAGCAGGGAATCAATCTAGTGTGGGACTTAGGTCCTCAGTCCAAAAACAGAATCCAGCCATGACCTATGTGTGTGAGCTTGAAAGTGGATCCTTCCGCACTTGAGCCTTGAGGTGAGCACACCCTATGAAAGACCCAGAAGCAGAGGGCCAAGCTTACCCTTGCCTGATTCCTGGCCCATGTAAACTGGGAGATAATAAATGGTGTTTCAAGCCACCCATGTTTTGAGGTCATTTTTTGCACAGCAATAACTAATATGTATATAGTCCTAACAGTTGTCCCCTCCTGAGCCATCTGACCATATGGTCAGGGTTCACTGTGCTTTAATGCCTCCCGGAGACGTGTTGCACACAACTGCCTGGATTTCTGGGACAGCCATTCGGCTTTACGGCTGTGCTGGGAGTCTGCTGTCCTCTTTCTCGTAATTCACAGCTCTCTCCTTCCTGTTCCTCCTACCTCTCATCCTCCTCTTTCCAGCTTAGCTAATCTCTTCTAGATGACTGAGAAACAAACTCCTTCTCACTTCTTCAAGAACCTCTGATCTCCTTGTGTTCACAAATATGCTTTCTCAATGAGCTCACAGCAGAAAGCCTTTAAATCCCTGGCACTCATTAATAATGGTCATAGTAACTGCTAACAGTAATGGAATTCTTACTATGTGCCAGACACTGTGCTAAGCCCTTTCCATATATCAGCATGTTAATCTTTGTACAAACCCCAAGAAAGAGGCTCTATTATTGTCCCTATTCTACAGTTGAGGAAACTGAGGCTCAGAGAGTTAAATAACTTGTCCAGGTCATATAGCCAGTAAGCAGTGAGTCATCAGAGATCCGATTCAAACTCCACCAGGACAGCTCCTGAGCCTGTATTTTTAACCTGTAAGTAATAAGTGATCATATCCAATGTGTTCAAGTACTTTCTATAAACCAGGCATCATACTAAACATTATATATGCAAGGGATTGTTTCAGCCTCGCATAGCCCTAGAACACCCAGGACAGAAGTTCAGAGAGTTTACATAAATCTCTTAACATTGACAAGGGCCAGAGCTACAACTCCCAGTCTGCAGCTCTGCCCTCACTCTCCTCTCTTTAGTCCCACTTAGCTCTTAGCTGTAACTCAGACACTGAACACACCTGCTTTGAGATCTCTGGCCTTAACGTTGCTCCCTCTGCCCCAGAACTTTCTGTAAAGGCCACAGAATTTTCTTTTCTCACTGCCTTGCTGCTAACTAAATTTCCCTCCAGTCCAGTCCCTGTGCTGGGTCTGCTTTATCCTTTTCCTTAGCACTTTTCGCTGTGCCATGTTCATGCAACTTATTCTTTGTAGTGAGACACATACACTCATGTTTGATAACACATCCTCAGCTAGAACATGAGCTTTAAAAGGGCAGAGAATATTGCCTTTCTTTTTCAAGTGTATAGCCCTTGTATTAAGAATAGTGCTTTCTTTTACACTGTTGGTGGGACTGCAATCTCATACAGCCTTTTTGGAAAGAAGTATGGAGAATCCTCAAAGAATTCAAATTAGACTTCCTGTTTTATCCTGCAATCCCATTACTAGGCATCTACCCAAAAGAAAAAAAAATCACTTTATCATAAAAACATCTTCTCTAGATTGTTTATTGCAGCTCAATTTACAATAGCCAAGATTTGGAAACAGCCTAAATACCCATCAACTCAGGAATGGATCGACAAGCTGTGGTATATGTATACCATGGGATACAATTCAGTTATAAAAAAAGACGGTGGCTACATCTTTTGTATTAACCTGGGTGGAATTGAAACACATTCTTCTCAGTAAAGTATCACAAGAATGGAGAAGCGTTAATCCAATGTACTCAAATCTGATATGAAGCCAGTAGATGATATAATTTATACCCACATAGGGTATAAATTATAAATCCAAGTTTAGGGGAAGGGAAATGATAGAGGGGGAACAGGGAGGGGTATTTGGGGTGCTCGCATGTAATGGGCACAATGTAGGGGTCTATGGCACATTTTTTGGATATAGGACATAACTACAAGTGGGACTCTACCTAGCAAAGTATTGTGACTTTGTTGTTTGTAC